TCTCTCACAGACCACCACGGCTGGAGCATCCGGCTTGGGCAAGAAAGAATCCACCCAACGTTGGCCTTGGATGGGGCCAACGGGCAGCAGTGTGTGGAGAGCCAAAGGCTCTCTTGGTGTCCAAGCTTCGGTTTGGGGCTAAAGCAGATACTCTCTGTGATTTTGGCTATTCCCATATCCTTTTCCCCTTGCTTCCACATGGAAGCGAAGTATGGCGTTCTGGGGAGGGTGCAAACTATATTTCGCCTTTTTAGTACGGATATGCATTGGGGAATGGAATTTGAAAACAGTTTAATGATCGCTCTTCAGGGCAGGTCAAAGCATTTGTTTGGCGCCTGGTCCAATGAAGCTCAACAGGTCGGCGTTGTGCATCTCCGCCACAAATCTTTGACGAAATACTTTTTATTTTTTGCTTGCGAATAGGTTGCAATTTAGGTACGAGGAATTTTTTGGACTCTTATGTTGTCTTTTGGTTGGAGTTTGCAGCCCCGCGGCTGTCTTAGTGGCTTTTGTTCATTCTGCGCTGGACTGGCTTTGATTTCCCCGGTGTGGCCTAGATAGGCGCATTATGGTATCCTGTCATTTGGATTCTGGCGGGCCTTCCAGAGGATATTCTTAAGGTTACTTTACTGGATTCCCCCTTTTTCGGAAACATCATGGTTTTTAGTTTCGGTCTTGGATTAGGGGATGTTCGCGGCGCAGCGGAATCTCCAGCTTTGTTAGCCTATATCCTCTATGGATTTAATGTTTTGGATGGGGAAAAAAAGAGGTTATATGTGCTTCGATGCACAGGGTATTTGGGGTGATCTTGGATGATGTTGGTGCCTTGTTTATTTTTTTGCTTCTGCTTTAGTGGCCTGTTTGTATTCGATCGACCAGGAACCTTGCTTGTTGTTGTATTGACTAGGTGGTGGGCCTACATCCTAATCTGCATTTGCTTCTCTCACTTGCATAATCTCCAGCACACTGGTTGCACTCCAAAAATGGCATATCTAGTCTCTCACGGCAATGAAAGGTTGATATGTCAGCTGAACTGTGCTTCTGCAACCCATTATACAGTCTCCCGCAAGCTTCTCCCTCAAGTGGTAATCTCTGCTCAGCCCCTTGTCTCGAGATAATTACATACAAGTTATATGATTAACTTCACATGCTTCAATAGTATGTCCAGGCGGATACAATTCACAGACCAATAACGGCCAGAATGGCAGGGCGACTGCTTTGACGCTCCCTCATTTCTGCGCAATGAGCCACGCGCAGTTTTCACACAGCACTCGCGGCCCCTCCTGCATTCGATTCAATCCTTCTCTTCGCCGTGCCGATGCCCGCCACGCCCTTTTCCTGATTTCTTCCTAGCCACGGCTTCGTCGCTTCTCCCCAAACCCTCCTGCCCAGATAATAGATACACTGCCCGATGATGATCAAAACAAACGCAATGGGGTACATCCAGTGGATGGCGTACTTGAACACCTTGACTCCAATCACGACGCCCCAGAAATTGCTTGTGAGAAGACTGATATTGAAAAATGCCGCAGATGCGAGGCGGAACAAGAGTGGCGCGAGGGAGTAGAATATGAACAGACAGAGAGTGTACCCGGTGAGATAGCCGCCTACTTTGCTGTTCCAGACGGCGGTCTGGAAGGATTCTCGATCGAAGATGGCGGACTGGACGCCCATGATGATGGTGGCATAGAGCCCCAGCTGGCCGAGGACCTCGTACATGGGTCTCTTGCTGACGAGGTATTCTTCGGCAACGTTGGCGAAGCCGTAAAAGGTTGCGCCGAGGAGGGCGAAGAGATCGCCTTTGATCTGGTCGCCCTTTGAGCGGGAGTCGCCGGCGGTGGAGCCGGTGATGTGGTCGGAGCCGAAGAGGACGCCCATGCCGCCGATGCAGACGATTATACCGAGATATTGGGCCCAGTGATAGCGAACGCGGAGCAGGAAAAAGGAGAGGAGGACGACGATGACGATGGCCCAGAAGTTGATGAGTTGGGCGCTGAGGATTGTGGTGTAGCGGTAGGCGAGGACGATGAAGTAGTTTCCCTCGACGTCGCAGAAGGCGAAAATTATGTCTTATCCATGTCGAAGAAAGATGTGAGTCCAAGCATGTCTATCTTTGGGCTTGTTTCTGCGGCACTTACATTTCCACCACCGTTCGCGAATCAATTGGATCCAGCCCTTGAATCCACAGCGGTAGATGGTGTAGCTCGTATACACCAAGGTAAGAAGGATGTAATTGAACAAAGTCTGAAAAGACGGAATCGACGTTCCAGCGCCAGCCAACAGATTCGTAAACGTGTTTGTGGCCGTAATGCAAAGGGCTAGGACCTGTCTGCATGAGAGTGAGAGATACCCTGTTAGCTATGCTCGAACAATCGGCGTGCGTGTCCGATCATGCTCACCCTATAAGCAAAACGGTATAAAATTCCCGAGTTCGAAGGTATGCAAAGTACCCTTTCCCGGCTGTGTCACTGGCTGCGCGCTCGTCGGGGGTGTTGGCATCGGTCCCGGAGCGGGAGGGCGCATCGCCGCAGGCCCCTGCATTTTCGGTGCGAGGAGATTCGCGCCCGCTGGTTCCGATGGACTCTGTAACCTCAGGGCCTTTGCTATCAGTATCCGCCATAGCTATCTGCGAGGCGATCCAGGACAAGGCTTCTGCGGGGCAACCGGGGTCGATGATATCAGAGCAGAATTATTTTTTCAAATGGAGCTTTATAAGTGCAAAGCAAGCGCAAAACTCCAGAAGTCGCTTGCTACAGATGCAAAGGAAAAGATCCTTCGAGAGGCGGGGAGGCAGCGAAAGAAGAGGGAAAAAGAGAAGAGAAAAAAGAAAGCAACATCCCTGCTTATCGTCGGAAGATTCTGGGCCAAAGCAACGGGAAGCTTTGAACCCTAATCGATAAGCGGGAGAAGCGAAATACGATTGACTGTCTTCGGGGAAGCGAGCCGGCAGCCTGGAGGCCACAAGCGCCGTCTGCAACAGGAGCGGGCCGATAACTAGTTAGCTGGGCTGCTGTCCGTGCGAGGTCAAGCGAGAAGCGAGTTGGTAGTTAATATTGCTTTCTTTTTTCTTTTCATCGTGGACAGATGGATGACTCGCAGTCCCCAGATATCCGCCATTCTTGAGCCCAAATGCCGGGACAGTCAAAGTGCGCGTTCCTTCATACTGGGCTGGATCAATAATGAACAGCGTAGGAGCCTGAATTCTGGATATCTGACTGCCCAGCTGGTGAAGCCCAGGATTCCTTTGTAAATGGCTGCAGCAACCATTCCATGAGCTTCAATTCTAGAACAGTATTAGATGAAATCAAAAGTCCTGTGTATAACTGCCTGAAAGGCCTAGGAAGCAACGGCAACTTTATCAAGACCAGGATCTGCTCAACGGCCTGCAAGCTGCCATCAAAGACCAAGACCGCCTGCTGGATGAGAATCTGGCTGACCGTATTATAGCAACAGGCCATTATTGCTCGCTCACAAAAGAGCCTCTTCATCTGTAGCATCTGGCGAAATAAGAATTGTTGTTCCTGCATCGTCTGATTCGGCATCCTGGAGCCTGGGATCTCAGGCATCTCGGGGTGCAGTTTGGCGTCACCGGTTGGGCTGCAACACACGAGCTGGCGATCCGCAGCAAAACCACCTCGTCGGCCTGCACTCCCCCATCGGATGAACCGCACCGCTCGCTCCAGAGCATCAGCAACACACCACCCGCCCGCCTCCGTCTGCGAGCGCTCTCCGGCCCTTTGACCTGCTCGACCAGGCTGACCTGCTTTGGCCCCCACACGACTTCTGCACCGCCCGTCGCGTGCGTCAACGCCAGCAATCAAATTTCTCCCGCGCTTCCAGGATCGCCCCGTGCCATTCCGCCCATCCGCATCGCCCACAGATCCCCCGTTGCCTTCGCGTCGCGCAAGGATCGCCTTTGGCATTCGGTCCCCAGCTGCGACATCCGCAGAGGGCTCTTGGCACCCGTCCGCGTTTCGCTTTCGCCCTCGTCCTGCCATCAACATCCCCCCTCCCGTCAGCGTGACAGAACCGCCCGCCGCGCCAGATGATGGCACTGGCGATCCCGCCGCCAAACGATCGAAAGCGGGTCAAGGTCTATGAGCTGAAGGACAATGACTGGTTTGATAGGGGGACGGGCTTCTGCACTGGGCAGATTCTTGACGTATGAACTCCATCTCGCGCGATTGCGCTCTGGGTTGTTGGTCCCCGGCCATCCCAGTCTATGGGCTTGTTCCGGCTTTCAATTACGTCGGACTCGATCGAATTATTCGGGCTGCAAGCAGGCGATTCACTGACAATCCTTCTACGGACAGGATGAGCCCAGGATTCTAGTCGAATCGGAGGACCAGCCGGGCCGCATGCTGCTAGAAACAAAGATATCAAGGGAGGATGGATACCAGAAGCAGCAAGGTTGGGCATTCCTGCAAATGACCTTCTCAGAGCACCTTGTGACTTGATAACTGGGGTAGAAACCTTGATCGTCTGGACTGAGCCGAATGGCACCGATATGGCTCTCAGCTTCCAGGAAGCTGAAGGTTGCGCAGTGATATGGTAGGCGCGATGCACCATTTGCCGGGCTTTCGGGCTACTACTAACGTCTTGACCCTTAGGGAATTCGTGCGACACGTTCAGCAGCATTTCATGGGACTCAGTGGACCTGGTGCGCCATCTATCCTCATACTCCAACAATTGCCCACTGACGTATATATCTACTAGACGATGCCCTTTCGGACGATGCGCTCGATCCCTTAGGCAATCAAATAATGCTTCCTCCCCCAGAACTTGGAAACCTTGCTGAAATAGAGAATGCGATGCGCGCAACCACCGCCACACAAGCCGGCAGAGATGCAATCTCGAAATTCGTTATCCGCGACGACTATATCCTAAAGCTCCTCCCGCTCGTGTCGACTGCCGAAGACCTCGAAAGCCTCCCCGATCTACATCGCCTATGTAACATAATGAAATCTTTGATTCTACTGAATGACAACACAATTATCGAGCTAGTCGTGAGCGACCCCGTCATTAGCGGAGTTGTCGGAGCTCTAGAATGTATGGAACTATCGAGTTGATCCCATGACGCAAGACTATGCTGATAATGTCTACATAGACGATCCCGAATTTCCAACGCACAAGGCGAATCATCGGCAGTACCTCAATGATCGCAGCCGCTATAAGGAAGTCGTGCCTATCAAAGATCCAATCATTCTCCGAAAGATCCGTCACACCTGGCGCCTCCAGTACCTGAAAGACGTTGTGCTCGCAAGGATCTTAGACGACCCAACGTTTTCCGTGCTGAACTCGCTTATCTTCTTCAACCAAGTCGACATAGTCCAGCATCTTCAGACCAATACCCCGTTTTTGAACGAATTGTTTGCGCTGTTCAACCCAAGGAATACGGATAATAAACGAAAGGAAGATGCAGTGCAATTCATCCACCAGAGCGCGTCGATTGCTAAGAACCTGCAAGCTACTGCTCGTGGGAGTTTATTTGGAAGCTTTATAAGTCATGGTCTCTTTTCGGTTATCGTATACGCCGTGAAGCATCCAGTACCAGCAATCAGAAGCACAGGTGTCGATATACTCGTTGCCCTTCTAGACCATGATCCTATAATGATGCGAGGATATATGTTAAAGGCGGTCAACGAGAAGAAAATCCCTCTGACTGAAACGCTAATTGGACTGCTTCACGTCGAGACCGATTTGGGTGTGAGAAGTCAACTGGCAGATGCAATAAAGGTTCTATTAGACCCCCAGACTCCTGTACCAGAGATATTAAGCAGAATGGGCGCGGATTTCATACCAAAACTGCGATCGCAAAACGTATTCCCCGATACCTTTGTGCAGAATCATTTTGATGAATCAGCAAAGCGACTATTTTTACCCCTGAAGGAACTGGAGCTCAGACCAGATTGTGAGTCGATGCTGTCTTCCTCATCGACGTCTGAATACGTACTGACTCAGCCGCAGTAAACAACCTGTCCTTTCAAGAAGTTGCATTGTTCTCTCACTTGGTTGATATTCTCACCTTTTTCGTTCGGCAGCATCTGTTCCGGAGTCGTAATCTCATGCACACAGAGTCGTTGGCGCCTCGGATAGCACAGTTGCTTACAGTACCGCAGAAGCATCTGAAATTAAGTACGTCTCCCTTGGGTTCGTTACTATCAAGCCGCTACTAACATCTCCCAGTTGCGCTCAAATTTTTCCGAACGTTGATTAGCCTACAAGATACCTTTTATTACTCTCAGATGACCCACAACAATACATTCGAACTTATTCTCAATGTAGTATACGAGACGATGCCACGCGACAATTTATTGAATTCTGCTTGTCTGGAGTTATTTGAATACGTCAAGCGCGAAAACATCAAGCCTATCATCGTTCACATTGTTGAAAATTACCGCGAGAAGATCAAGAATATCACATACGTCGACACATTCCAAAATCTAATGATACGCTACGATCAAATGCAGGGATATGGTGCACAGCCAGAGCAGACTTTATTCAGCCAGGACGAATGTGCTACCCCGACTAGGAATCTCATCAATGGCGGTCACCGATGGCAGGGCGTGCGAGAAATGGATGCAGCGGAAGAGGAGTACTTTGATGCATCAGATGATGAGGATGATGAGGTAGGCTTGTTCTCGTCAAGTGAAATGATGAGAACTAGTGCGTTAGAGAACAGAGCCCAACTCATGGCTTCGTCTCAGCAGGGTAAAAGCGCCGCTGAAGCCAACGCGCCGCCAAATGGATCGGTTTCTCCGACGGCCAAACCGTTGGTCGATTATCCTGACGACGATGAGGACGCTATGGAAGTGAGCGAGCAAGAACAGCCACCGACTCAGACTGTAGAGGCGCCGCCTGTGCAGCAAATCGATGAGCAGCCTGACTCGGATGATGTGGCAACACAGATGTCGTTTAGCAGTGAGCGATTCTTTGAACGCTTCTCTGAGAAACGGCGTCGCGAAGAAGATGATGAGGACGATGAATTGATCAAGTTGTCTTCTGCGTCGAAACGCCGTGGCTCAACTGCTAGTGTTAGCAGCGTCGGCTCCAGAACACCAGGCGGAGTGCAGGCGAAGAGGAGTTTGTCCGGACAGTCATCGCCGGTGTCATCAACACTTAACAAGGCGGGTGAGAAACCTTCAACTAACCCTGCTGGATCAGGAAGCAAGAAGATATCCATTAATCTGAGCAAGAGCTCTGCTACACAAGTCACTTTGAAGACCCAGCCTCAGAATACGGTTGACAGCCCGGGGAATGACGAAAGTAATACAAGCGAGAGCGGTGCTGCAGGGGGCGAAGAAGGAGGTGGCAGCAATACCAGCGGGACCGATTGATTGATGTTCAGCATTTGCCAGTTGCACTTTTGCCTTGCGCTCCATTCTCCGTCGTATTCCATCTTCACTATTCGGGATCCTCGTTTTATACCTTGTCGAATGCCTACTCAAAAAATCCAGCACTGGTCGATTTTCACTGAAGAGCCAACGGCGTATTTGAATGCATGTTCGCATTGCTCGACGGGGTTTGCTATGCCCGACTATTTCGTTTCCTTTGGATGATATCTTCGTTATATTTCCCAACGTGTTGTTCCATGGGCGTTTAATGCAGTGGTTTTTCGCTTCTTTGTTTTCCTCTCTTTGGCACTTCTTTCCGTGTGTTACTTATATCTTTTATCCCCAGTCCTGCTGTGTTCGATTACTGCTTTGGGTGCCGGTCCAGCTATTAGTCATATATTAGATACCACTGGAATGGGACGATTTGAGGTTTTATCATCCTCAGCTTTGTTTTGCTTTCTCATTCATTGCCACTCGGTTTCATCGGCAGCATCGGCGGTGGCTCGGGGGTACATCGCAACCGCAGATAAATCCGTCATCTATAAAAGTACCGCCGGGGTTTAAGTTGATCTGGAATTTGGTTACTTTTGGGGGAAAATAGGAATCCGATAACCAGCGGAGTTGCTGGTTTTTCAGACTTGCGATTAATTTGAGGCCATCGCCTTGCACTTCATTTGCGCGATGCCGACATGCCGACCTCCGGTGCTCCCTTCGTTGTGAATTGAAATATTGCCATCATTCCCACCTACAAAAAGCATCATATCCCTAATTCCTCAAATTCCCCGCCAGTATATACTCCTCTATCTACCCTGCACAGGATGGACCCCTCGAAAACACGAATAACGCCAAATTCCTTTCTCACCAAGGTCGGCTCGTCGAAAGACGGAGACCCGATCATAGTCTACTTCATCCCCGGTAACCCAGGCGTTGTGTCATATTACCACTATTTCCTATCCCTAGTGGCGTCGAATCTTTCCTCTTCTTCTTCTGCCTCTGATGCGTTTGCATCCCTCGCGTCTGCTGAGCTCGAGAAACGAACCGGGGCCGGTGCAGCTAATAGTGCACCGGAGAGCAGTAGCAGCAGCAGCACGCGCAGTGAGCAACATGTTAATAGTAGCAGCGATGAGGGCCGTCGTAAATTCAAGATTATGCGCCGGAGGAGCAGTAAAAAGGTGAAAAGAAACGACGGCGGGCACCCGCACGACGACGAAAAGTCCGACCATAAATCTCTGAGCTCGCGCAAAGACGAGCTGTGGAAGTGCCATCCCAATACCAATTCCGAAGAATCATTTTTAATCACTGGGCGGTCTCTGGCGGGGTTCGAGATTGACGACGGCGCTTCTTATATATCGTCGTATCTATTATCTACGTTTTCTGCGACGGATGAAATCCACAGTCTGCGCGACCAAGTGGAATTCGTGGAGAGCAATTTGGGCAAGTTCGTCCGCAGGTATCAGGACAAGATCACTGCGGCGGCGACTGCGGTCGCTGTAGCTGCCGGACAGAAGAAGGATGCGGTCAATATTCGCAGGCCGCGGCCAAAGGTCATTCTTTTGGGTCACTCTATGGGGGCGTATATCTCCATGGAAATATTGAGGAGGCGAAGGGAGCGAGAGTTAAAAAGGGCGGCGGAAACAAGGGAAGCCGGCATGTCTTCTGACTCTCACAGCGGAGGAGACGGGGAGGTTGAGATGGATATCATCGGCGCCCTGATGCTGTTTCCTGCAGTGGTTGATATCGCGAAATCGCCATCGGGCAAGAAGATGACGGTAGGTTCAATATATTTCCCCTTTTTTTCTATCTAACATCATGCTAATCGTTGGCTTAAGACGCTTGGATACATTCCTTATCTTGACATTTTAACCAGCCTGGCTATGAAAGGCCTCATGTCCGCAACCCCAGCTCCGGTATTACGTCGCTGGGTCCGCCATGTCATGAAAGATCCTCCAGACGATGCTCTCGATACCACTATTGCATTCCTGAAAAGCAGAACAGGAATTAGACAAGCTCTGTAAGTCCTACTCGAACCCTCTTTCACTCCTCCAATATCCATCATCTGGCTACCGGCGATGCACAATACTGACGGTCCTTAGACACCTTGCTGCAGAGGAAATGGAGCAAATCGGCCCTGACAAGTGGAGCGATGAAATCTGGGGTATATCCGAGCAACATAAACCATCCCACGACGTCAAATCACACCTTACAAAGCTCGTCTTTTATTTCGGTCGCAACGACCACTGGGTAGCCGAAAAGACGAGAGACGAAGTCATCCAAGCACGCTCCGCAAAGGGCGGGCGTGGGCCAAAGATGCTTATTTGTGATGATGGCATAGAACATGGCTTTTGCATTCGTAAGTGCCCGTTCCTCCCACTGTGCTTGCTACCGCGCCGACTTGCATGGATGCTGACGTTCGTAGGACATAATGAAATCATGGCCGATAAGGTGTCTGGTTTTATAAGAGAGATTGTAGACGACTACAGGGCGAAGAAGTGATTCCAAAAGAGTTCAGCGAATCCCTTGCACTTGTAGCGTGTGATATAAGTTAGCTACATAGAATTAATGTAATACGATGCGCCATCAGTTCAACTTATACGACTCTGTGAGGGTCGAGAGCAAAGGAGCGGATAATACCTAAGAGTATCCCTGGTATCCCAGATTTGCTTTGCGGAATAGCGCACCCAGCACGTCATTGTTGCTTGGGGGATGTGCTCCCTGAGGTGCGGGCCAACCGCTAGGTTGATTCGCAACCTGTTGCACCGGAGCGTGAGGGCCGGACTCATTCAAAGGACTATGGACTTTGACACTCCACGCGTCATCCTGTGCCCTTTGTTGACCGAATAGCTCCTTCAACGAGACCTGGCGGTTCATGGGTATGGCACCGGGGGCTTCTTGAACATGTGCACTCTGGCTGCGTTCAGCTGCCAGTCTCTCTTCCGCAAGCTTTCTGCTTTCCCCGCCGTGCACAGCACACTCTTTGATCATCTCTGCGTTTATCGTTCTCATCTCGGCTGTCGAACTCGGTGCTGGTTCGGAGAAGATCCATACGCCATATATCATCGAGGTGCGTCCATCTGCTGAGCGGATAGCGCCTTCGCGGCCTTTTTCGAACCCATCCACTTTCAAAATAACGTATTGGTCAGTGATTTCAACGTCGTCGCCGCTTATTAGCCTAGCTTCAAAGTTGTCCATTCCACGTCTATTGAGCACCATGACGCTATATCTCTCCTCGCCCAGGTCGCCCTTTGTGAGCTGGCATACGAACAACGTTCCCTCGATTCCGGCTTTTTCCCATGATTGCGTTGTTGCGCTGAAGATGTATATAACTGCGAACGGAGCTAGTGATAGAATCGTGGATATCGAAGGGTTGTACCGGCGGACAACGGTAATGTTAAGGTCCTCGTTGGATCTGGCGGGCGGCGAAGGAATAGTCGGAGCGTCGGCAGACATTTCTAGCGATTGGCTTCCTTGAAGAGCTTGTAGGTCTGGTTCGTACTGTGCGGGTTGAGTGTTGTTTGCGGAGGAGCGGGGATTCTGTCGAGCCTTGCGCAAGGTCATGGCGGACAAGGGAAGCTGGTCGTCGGGACCTGAAAGGGGCACGGCGGAGACAAACGCTGGTTGAGAATTCAATATGTCTTTATTTCCTTCCACTGTGTCTGAGAACTGTGTGAGAAGCTGCTTCTCAGTTGTGAGCGAGTTCGGATTCGGTTTTGCAGCTAATAAATCCGGATGGAGGAACGTCACCACTTCCCCTCAACAACCGAACACGAGGATGACCGCCTCACAAGGACTATATATATCCGCAGAGGCTCCAGCTGCTGCTCAGATTAGCTGCTGCTGTCCGGGCAGATTATAAGTATCCCGCCGATTTATGCACATGATCTGTGGCTTCGATCCCTCGACCATGCGAAGCTGCGCCGCAACCAGCTTGACAGGCTGCTGATCTACTTAGCTGGTGACTGAAAACCCTTGTCCGCCTGCAGCCTTGTGTTATTTGAACAGTTACGCAATGATGCTGACTTGGTCCGCTTGATGTATCCTACGACGCCAGATTTCCGTCCATCATGTCAATCCATGAAACCACTACGCCGTCCGATCTTCGTGACGCCCCAGGCGCATTCCCGGACCAACAGGACGACAGAGAAGATGCTCAGGTAGCATCCGATTTCAACTCGCTGTCTCGAGCGGTATACGCTAGAAGAGCCGAATACGTTCGCCGCAAAACAGTACGAGTCAGAATTGGGTCTTGGAATGTGGCAGCGCTTCCCGGCACCGAGGAAGACTTGGCGAAATGGTTTATGAAACCTGCTAGAGGAAAGGAAAATAACCATAAGGGCCATAAATCGCATAGATCCGAGAGTGGCATTGATGATAAAAGGGAGGGAGCGGATTGCAAGCAGCAAGATGACGAGTCACTCGTTGCCGAAGATGAGAGTATCGACATCTACGTTCTCGGCTTGCAGGAAATCGTCGATGTCAACTCTCCAGCCGAGACTCTGAGGCCATATGTAGACCCGGCGCCTTCAACTCGGTGGAAAGAAGCTGTTCAAAATGCGCTCCCCGACAGATATACACTCGTATCCTCGCAGCAACTTACAGGCCTGCTACTCTTGGTCTATGCTTCCCAGTCAACCGCTCGAACTATATCGTCCGTCAGCTCCTTAGGCATTGGGACTGGCTTGATGGGGTATATGGGCAACAAAGGAGCAGTTGCAACACGGATAGTTATCGGCGGGATAACGCGTATCGTTTTCGTTAATTGTCACCTGGCTGCCGGAGCAGACAAAGCGAGCTTGGATAGACGAAATTGGGATGCTTCACAAGTCGTGATGCGTGCGAAATTTGATCCAATTGACGAAGGGGATGATTTGGACCACACGTCTAACCAGACCCTGGGGGAAGAAGATTTCGCCTTTTGGTTTGGCGACCTAAACTATCGCTTGGACGACATACCCGGCGATGACGTCCGGCGGCTTCTGCATTTACATACGGAAAATGATTTTGGACCATTGCCCAAGCCTGCGACCCGGAATAATGAGGATAGAGGGTCCCAAACATCTAACCGTTCGTCTATGGAGGAGGGCCCTCCATGCGAAAGCCCAGGCGAGGCAATTTCAATGGTAGATAATGACCTTGAACTTGATCAGGATCCTGCTTCGCTAGAGACCACCCTTACATCGCTTCTTCCCCATGATCAGCTTCATGCTCAACAAAGAAAACGAAATGCGTTTTATGAAGGCTGGAGAGAAGCGGAGATAACATTTCTACCTACGTACAAATATGACATTGGACGTATCGGGAAATTTGATTCAAGTGAGAAACAGCGCAGCCCAAGTTGGTGCGATCGAATACTCTATCGAACTAGACAAGATTATCTAGAATACAAAAGACGTACCAAAGAAGCGGAGGACGTGAGAAAAAGAGACGATGAAATGAAATCACTTGGTTTGGATCAAGAGGCAGAAGATGCTAGCGTATTATTCGATTATGACCCAGAATTTGATGGCGCTTATGATGAAAACGAGGACGCAGATGACAATGCGTTTACGGATCCCCCCTCAATTGGGGAATATGAAGACTTACTAAGTGTGTCCTGCTACACGTCACATCAGGGTATTGTTTCGTCGGATCATAAACCCTTACACGCCGATTTCATCCTGACATACGACTCTGTGATCCAGGAGCTAAAGGCAAAGGTACATCAGGAGGTTGCTAGGGAGTTAGATAAAGCTGAGAATGAGGCACGGCCAGATATCACGGTCGTGGTCGATGTGCCGGTTGAAAAGGCGGGAGATACCCAACAAGCTAGCAATGGTACCACAGACAGAGACACCGTCAACTTTGGACAAATCCGTTACGATGTACCAGTATCACGGAGTTTAACATTAGCGAATACTGGCAGTGTACCAGCTACGTTCTCGTTCCAGTATAGACCTGTTGCTGCTGATGAAGAATCTCGCGTTTCCCCCCCTTGGCTTCATCTTCGAGTAGATTGGCCTGCGAATGGAGATACACAAGCACCGAATACGCACAAGGAATACACACTGCCTCCTGGTGAATCCGCACACGTTCACCTTGTTCTTTGTATCTTTGATATGGATTTTGTCCGCGAATTGAATACTGGCAAAGCTAAGGTTGACGATGTGCTGGTCCTACGGATTTCTAATGGCCGGGATCACTTCCTTTCAGTCCGTGGACAGTGGCTACTATCCTGTTTTGGGCTGTCGTTGGAAGAATTCACCCGAATCCCTGAAGGGGGAATCAGAAGGCTGGAAATTTCCAGCTTTATGCCCTATTTATCTGGGAGTGAACGAAATGATAACGTCCGAACATCCGCTCCACGTGAGCTGTTTCGACTAACCGAAGCGTTAGCTGAACTCGTGGAACGCTCACTAGCCGAATGGGACATGGTGGGTAATAGTGATGAACCAGACGAAGATGCCCGTCCCTGGGCCTCTGAGCGAGCCGGTTGGCCATTCGATTCCGAAACCTGGTCCCTAAAGAACAGCCGGGAGCGGTATAAACTCCTTGGCCTGATTCGCGAAGCGCTTGACACTAGTACTCCATTCTTTGCTCATTTCCCACCCGAAATCCCTTCAAGACACCGGGCGGAGCTCCTCTCCGAAACTCTTATATCCTTTCTACGCTCTCTACACGATGGGGTGATAACGAAGGCGCTCTGGAGCGAGTTAGAAAGCCAAATTCCTCTTCACGAGAAACCAAGACCCGCGCCTCTAATCACGGAGCAAGCTCAGTCCCGGGTCCTGGAAGCCATCTCAACATCACCGGCTCACAGCGTCTCATTCACATTTCTTACATTCATGCTTAACCGCATTGCCGGCGAAGTTGCACCGCTGGGAACAAGTACTACCTCAATGCCATTGTCCCCAGCCACACCCTCAGTGGCTTCCCACGGCCGCGCTTCTACAGACCTCTCAGAACCTTCCAGTCCTTCAGTGTCCACCTCGACTCGTTCATCGATCACGTTCCCCTTCCGGTTCAAGTCGCGAAGTCGCACGCTATCAAGCAGTGACGGCAACGATGCACCAATGATCAATTCGAGGCCGCCAACTAGTAATGCACCAAGTAATGCACACACCGCTACTTTGGCAAGGCGTCAGGCTGTTTACAAGGCTTTTGTGGGCATATTCGTTGACGTTATTTTCTCGAAGGATATTGCTGTACCGGAGAAAGACAAGGAGAAACGGGCTTTTGAAGAGAGGAAGAGATCTATTTTAGAACCGTTTTTGAGAAGTGATGGGGATTCCTGACGAGGATAGCCGTCTTGGCTGTCAATTGGTAGTGTTATATATAAACTGTGTTGTTATTTTCGGACGGCTTATATACTACAGAGTACAATGCTTGTACTCCTGAATCTGTATGACGCGCTGCTTGCGTATCAACTCTAGGTTCATGTATGCGTATTGTCAAGCGAGATGTTTTCCATGATCTGCTATGACCAGATAAGGACTTGTTTTGGGCGATCTTTTATAATGAACTGTACATACGTTCTACATACAAGTGCCGGCCTAATATATTAGATACCAAGTGGCCATTAACTAGTTCATAGTATTATTTTAAACCTGAGACTTGGGAACCCAAAATCCAATACAGAAAAGAGTGATTGATGTTTAGAACCGCGTAGTATTGAGCATATTTTAAAGCATAAAGTCCCCCAAATATCACTGTAGTTTGATACCGATTTCCTTCTATTGGCTATAACCTTACTCCGGTTCGACCGATTCTCCTCTGATTGGAAATATCTGAACGCGCGTCCAGTCTGAATGATTTTACCAATAGAGAAAACCACCATGTGGTAGCCAAGACTGGAAGCATAATGACGGCCCTGGACATACGCCATGGCAGTACCAAGGCGTTTCGAAAGGATGTAGCCAACCCCAATGCCCAAAGAAAGGATGGTGAAATTTCGGGTTTTGCATGAATAGCATTATTGGGGCTTATATTATAAATGTGGGACTCGAGATTATTGAATCGCGCGTTGGTTTGAAGTTCAGACATTGTAAGTCGTTTTTCGTACTTGCGGACGGCGCGGGTAAGCGCAGCAATATCTCCTTGAATGGCTTTTCTTGTCTGGGTATCAATTTGACGTATCTTCTGGTCAAGCTCTTTTCCAGCTTCTGAGAACACTTGAGCAGTTTGATGTGTTAGCTCAGAAGAGGTTAGACCTGAAACAAATGCGTCTAATGCATCCAGGCGACCAGCCATATCAACAAGTTTGCTTGGATCTGCCATCTCTTGGTTACGAGAGGCAGATTTTACAACTCGTTGCAGATGGAGAGTTCTGGCTTGAATCATTTTCAAAACATGGGAGAAAGGTCGAATTTCAGCAGCGAGTAGGAAAACCGAGAGGTTGTAGTTTGAAACAAGACCCCCAGCTGGTCGTGACAACTGTGATCTAATAGTATGAAGCATCCAAGTTCCAAGAAGCGGACATAGAAAGCATGAGGCAAGAGCAATGGATTCATGGGTGTAGAGCTCTTGGCTGGCAGTGACGACCCTATCCGATGGGCGAGGTGACTTTGAGGAAGCTAAAATTGCTTTCTTTTGCGCCAGAGCGGTGTCACTACCGGAATCGCCGTCTAGTTTCTTGGGAAAATGACCTGTAGCAACCAGATCGTCATTTGAATCTCCCACCACTGTCGCCCGTGCTGAATGATACCAATCCCTAAGATCAAGTTAACCAATACAAGAGAACGGTATCTCTGACCGGCAGCCGGATTCCTACCATGGTAAACGCACGGACCAGTTGAGAAAGACTGCTGCAAGGCACAACAAAGTCACATCCGTAAGGAGAGCACCTCCATCCTTGAAGAAGATCCCACCGATGGCAGGCAGCAAGGCAAGAACAAGTGGTGCTGATTGCCAATTAGAGTCATTCGTTTGAGAAGATACCCGAGGCCGAAGAACATCATCCGTGGATGTTTTAATAGATTCACGAGCCTCAGAAAGGGTATCAGAGAAAGTCGTTGCTCTCCTTAGATTTCCCCGAATAGGCGAGATTATCCTTGAGCCATGTCGATGTCGAAATTGCGAGGAAGGGGAGACGCTCAATCGACGCTCCTTGGGCGCCGCCTCTGAACTGTTGACGACGGGCACGGTGGCTGCCGTTCCAACCATCTTGCTGGTTAGGGTGTCATGGAAAGAACGGAGATCTCAAGAAATGAACGACTGCGGGAGAGAGCAGACGTTGAAGGCATCTCCAATCCGTGATGCTCTTCTTCGCTCACCAGCGTCGCAACGGGCACTTCAGACAGTCATAGACAGATTGCTATCCTGATGGAACCATGTTGGCATGGAATCCAGGATCAAAGACGGTCGATGACGGAGGTCGAAGCAAGGTTGGTCAGGTGCCGCCAAGAGGTCTAATTTTAGACCAGCGCACGGTCCACGGACTCTGCTGACTAACGCACCCAACCTCCGTCCATCCCGGCCCGGAATCACGACGACCCTTGACGCTGTTGGATGTGATGCGAGACGTCCAGCCAATGCGAAGATTGTGCTCTTAGCGCCCGCGACCAAACCGTCGGGTTGCTGAAGGATCACATCCATGTACGAGGATTGTGCAGGAACAGCGAGGAGGACTCGAACTCCCATCCTCCGTTGCTCGTCGTCGAGTGTCTCGCTTCCCCTTGCGTTGTCCTCTGGAGAGAAGCCTGGAATATTGGCTTCTAGAAAGAATATTTTGTAATCAACTAGCTAAAGAATGTGGGAACGACCATGACCAGAGACCAAGTGGTTGCATCTGCCCTCCTCCCGCTTGATGTAGCCTGGTGGCCAGAGTTTCTACTTTGAGCTTGTCTTTGTTTCTGTTTGTCATATCAAATCAAACCCTCTGGGTTAATTCACATCACTAGCTGCTTTGTTGAGACCCCTTTGTTTGTCTGCTTGATTCTCTATTGCAGTGGCTTGCTGCTCGAAGCCGGGACGCAATATCAACCATTTCTGCACCTCTGCCAGCGTATGGCTTGAGGGATCTTTTTCGCTTCGAGCTTTTAGACCATCTAGATTGATGAGCATGCTTGTCAATGACTTTGCTTGCCTGCCGCAGCAAACAAGAAACTCGTTTATATCTCTTGGAGTTCTGCCGATGACCTAGGATATTGCCCACAAACACCCGGTTCCCCCAACATTCTTGGTGTTGTACTTCCATGGCAATGGCTGGCTCTCTGTAGCCTTGTGACTTTGATCGCAAGGAGGGGAAAAAAGTACTGTTTTTTAGATGTTTGCTGGGGATACGGATCTGCCTCCGGGGGGGGCTCGAGACAGGGCACGGTTCAGAGAATGGCGAATGAAAGCGGCATTCTGCAGGTCTCTTCACACGCTGAGCGACGGGTTCGCTCCTTGTCGTTGATCGAAGGTCTGGGTTGTGCTTGGTCGTCGATTGTCATTTGCTCAGACGACTCCTTATTGATACCCAAATCGGGTTAGACTCCGGCCACCACCCGCAGGGATACCAACGCTGTTCAGCGCCTGCATCGCATTCCAGCATCATTCTGTTCCTTCTGGCTGTTGTTTTATTTTTACACCTGCATTCTCGTTATTGAGGCCCTGTATAGGAATCTGCCGCCCTTGATTCAGTTATTGGAATCATGCCTGCCCTACCCGGGTTGCATTGGGGTCTATTACAGTCCCGAGATTTATCAACATGCCGTTTCCCACCGTTTCTTCTACTCTCTTCTTCTCCAGTATCGATATCTGGAGCAGGGCCATTTATCATTGCCACGGCGCTTAGTTGCTGAAGCCTCTAGTTTGTGCTCTGTCAGAATCGATCTATGCTAGCAGAACCCACATTCTCAGTTCACTTTACTCTTGACCTATAAAGACCGCTGGCGGCTAGTTGCAGGGCTGTTTTCCACCTTGATATAGGTCAGTCAAGCGCCTTTCTCTCTACTGCTTCAGCTGTCAGTCGTTTAGACCTGGCCTGGCGTCCAAGTCTGTTAGCAAATCCTTCTTATTAACCACTTCTACAATGGAATAGACCTTCAACCACAGAACAATGTCGGAAATTCAGCCTTCGTTTGAGATGTCTCCAGCCGGAGTTGCCCTCTCAGCAATCGCCTTTCTGTCCGTCATCGTTTGCATCCCACCGTTAGTCTGGCATGGAAGGAATAAGAACTTTCCTGCAATTTGCTTGACTGTCTGGCTGATTATCCAGAATATCTACAATTTCATCAACCCCTTGATTTGGCCCACTGATGATATTGGATCATGGTGGGAGGGCCATGTGTATTGTGATATTCAAGCCAAAATCATTGTTGGTTCAGGTGTTGGTATTGCCGGCCCATTGGCATGTATTTTCCGATCACTAGCGAAAGTGATGAATACCGACAGTGCGACTCTCATGCCGAGCAAGGGAGAGAAAAGACGAACGCTTGCCTTCGACATCACCTTTTGTCTGCTAATTCCCGCTATGGTGATGGCTCTTCACTATATCGTGCAAGAAAACCGCTATTTTATTTTTGCCATAGTCGGTTGCATGCCTTCCTACTATTCCAGCTGGCCTACTATTGTTGTTGGTTACATGTGGGCTCCTTTAGTGCTTACAGTTGCCGCGGTGTATGCAAGTAAGTCAACAGGTTCCTCTCAAGTTAGATAACTGCTAACGTGGATCCTAGCGATTGTGGTGTACCGACTCATAAAATACAAGCGTGAATTCAATTATATTGTTTCCGCCAGCAGCACCACGAATAAGTCAAGATTTATTCGGCTCTTTGCGCTCTCCATGGTTATGCTTGTCGGCAGCTACCCCGCACAACTTTATGTGCTGTTCTTTAATATCACCGGTTGGGGGCCCGTGAAACCTTTTTCGTGGAGCAAAGTTCACCGGCCAGATTGGCAGACCATAGACAAATACCCCATGGGTGGTGTGGTTTTTTTCGATCGCTGGATTCAAGTCATTGCGGGCTTCTTATTATTCGCCTTTTTCGGCTTTGGAAAAGATGCGACACTGATGTACCGATCGTTTCTACTTAAGCTTGGGCTTGGCCGATGTTTCCCGGGTCTCGAACATCCTCATATTTCAGGGTCTGGACACAGTTCCTCTGGGACCAAAGGTGGATCTTTTGGAAGCCGTGCAAGAATGATTTTCAAAAAGAAGTCCCAAGAAACCGTGGCTACCTCTACTCCTTCAAGAGCAGATGACTGGTTCGTATTGATTCAGAGATTTTATTCTAGTTCACTTTATTTCTGACAGGTCTACCTATTTAGGAACTCTCTGACCCTCAAAACAATGACATCTGACGATTTCGGACGCCGGAGTTCATCGTTATCCTTAGCAAAACCAATTGCATTACCAGGACAGGCGCGAACAGCTCCGGGGGGCCGACGCCCATCATTGCTCTCTGAACCGGACCTGTTTGACGCCGGAGATATCTTGCAAACTTCGCCTCCCATATACAATCGCAACCAGCATCTTGATTCTATCGAAGTGAAGAAATCCTTCACCGTTGAGCACGGCACAAGAGGGAGCGACATGGTATGATCCTTGAACGACTTGACAGGAATTCATTTGAAGCTCGACGACTAGTTCCAGATGGTGCAGGCGCCATTTTCCCGGTGGACGTTCATCCTAGATACCACCATAAGGCGTTTAATGGCTTTAACAGTGACATTGTTTTCCGTGTCCAACCTTTCCTTTATTTTCCACATGGCGTCCTGCACCGTGAATTGTATTAATTCCCACCTCGTTATCCCCCCAATAAGATTTTCAATGAGTCATGTCTTTGCTCTTTTGAGTCTTCTCTAAAAGACTTTTCTTCTGGGTGGAATGTGGCGTTTGCATATAAGGAAAAGGCGGTTGCTGTCTGTACATAGCTCCATAACCAGTACTCCGTAAAGTGGACGACGATCATGTTCATAAAGGGTACGAATAAAGAAAATGATTTGATGATTTACATCGTGTTTCCTTTGTTCATGTGGAAAGGAGCCATGCAAGAGGGTGCTTCAGATTCGGAGCCAACAATAGAGAGCTGGTACGGAGTAGGCCGCAGTTAACTGAAGATGACCGCCCGTAAACACATTGGTACGGGCCACATTCTCGAAATTCCGAGAAGGGGGTATTGGTTTTGAAACATGTTGCCCGACTGATCAAGCTATCAAATAGGCCAGGGGTCGAATGATCACAAGAGATCATAACATTTTTCTAAAACGAAATCGTCGATTTAACAGCCCAAACCCGCTCAAAAGACAAAATAAAAATACAGTATAAGAAGGCGGGAAGGGAATTGGAAACGCCCGCGAGGAACCCCCCCAAAACGGGATTCATTACAAATGTGTAATGGCCTAGGCGTTGCAGGCACCCTGGGAGGCGTGTCCTTTATACACACGTAGGAAGCAGCCTCGCCCCCTGCGACAGGCCAAAGCCCACTAATCCAAACTGGCAATACGTCCAAGGCATTTACTCGCTTCCCTGGCTGGCTTCGGCTTCGGGTTTACCACGGAGAAGGACCTCATAGTTTCCTAGAAGGAAGCGCAACCAATGTTAGAGTCTTTTCGATATTATAGAAAGCAGGATATCCAAAACTAAACGTGCACGTACGCTGCGTGACGTTCAGGTTGAAAGACCTTTGACCGTCGGCATTTTCCACAGCATTGACGGTCGCATCTCCAGTGACAGACATCAGCGTCCTAAGAAAACTTGATTAGCCCTCTTCGTCTTCCATGTCCCAGGCCGCAACTCACCCTTTTGGAAGGCCAAGCAGATGGTCTCGGGCTTTATCAACGGCGAAGCTGTTGATGCGGAACCAGCTCGCGTCCCGATTGGGCCCCGAGGTAGACGCAAGAACGTATCGTACATACTCGCGTCCATTTTGGCTAGTCTTAAGCTCTGGAGCGGCTCCCAGGCGACCGGTAATCGTGATTGTCGCAATTCCTCGGGCAGAGGTGGTGGTGAAGGCGCGTGGGACGGACGCGGTGCGGAGGGCGGGCGCGAAGCGGGTGAGACCGAACATGGTTATTTTGCGGGGGGCGAGAAAGAAGTGCAATTGGTTTAGTGGTTGAATTGAGTGAGGTTCCTGGTGGGAGAGAGACGAAGCATCAAATTTTCGAGCTACAGTTTCGCGTTTCGACCAGGGTCCATCACGTGGCTGGCTAGCTGCCTACATATAACTAGAGTGCTTCTGTCTGCTCGACCTGATCTCCAAGACACAGCTAGACGGCAATTGGATGTGCTGCTATTTCTGCTTTTACCTATTCAAGCTACAGCCTAGAGTGCTGTTGAGAGATGACTTTTGGTTTATAGGCTTTACTGACGGATTGAGTCAACGTCGCCTAGCCGACGGTATATCCGGATTCGACTTTCCTCCCATGAGTGAAACGAGCCACATATTCTCACCTAACCGGCCATTGAATACGTGCATGGACGGGCGCTTATGACCGGTTAGACGCCGGACTCTCAAGCAACCTGCGACAGCGAGACGGACTGCCTAGGAAACCGCAGTCTTCTTGAGATCTTAGAAGGCTGGTTAAGCGTCAAGGCCTGGGTACTACTAGTAAAGCATGCACAATTCTGCTCTGCAAAGAAATTACGGGGTCGTGAAAGTTCGGCTCACCTACGGACTAATCTCCTTAGATTGAATAGCTGGTGATCCAGTCTATAATTCCACAGTCAATAGGGATCACGAGCAGATGCAGTCGACAAGACGCAGAGAGAATATTCACAGTTTGCGGGTAAAATCATTCCTCTGTGACCAATGCTTTTCATGTATCTTTTCGAGTTCAACGTACGCGGAATCGAGAAAGACTCTTATGGGAAATTCTAGAATACAAAATCGGTTGTCGAGCATTCTGGCATTTGATCAGACTCCCTGAGCGTTGAGACGGGCCGCGCAAGGTTAACAGGGATAAGTTGACCGGCACCTTCCCGTCCGTCAAGGGCTCACTAACTAGTTAACTAATGGCCAGGATTATCCGGCCTCGTCAAACGAATTTTCAGACAATACGTAAGAGTGATGGATTCTCCTGGACTCATGCCTTGATAACAGCCTCATCTAACGGTTTGGTGTCATTCAATTGCGTAGATCTTCGCCTCTCAGATCCTGCTTTTCCTTTCCCGTACATGGGGAGGCCCTGCTAGCGCGTCGCATGCCTGGCCTTGTCAAGCGGTACCTGCATTGCACAAGAGCTGCTCAGCTGGAAGATGCTCCATTGTTCCGGCGAGAAGCGTCAATGAATTTTGCCCGTCCGATCGGGATCTCACTAGCTGATCGCTGATGTCACGTATCCACCCCCCAGCCGCGTCGTTGGCTTTGTCGGATGTTTTCTGAGAGCACAAAACGGCCTGCGTTTGATCTGTCTAACTGGGCTACGTTGACAGGCCGGGGAAGTGCGTCAAGTCTGACAGGCCCTAAAACCGTTTTGGCATCCCCTCCGCCCTGCAATCCAACGGGTCATGTCTTTCAGGCTTCCGGACGCTGTTCGGGCACAGGCAGGTCGCAGCTGGAGACGGTTGGATACTAAGACAAATAGTGCCGCGCCAAAGCAGCTCCAGAACCAGCGAGCCGGGATGCCGGAACGTGCCTTTGGTCTCCGCGCTTCCACGAGCTATTGGCTGCGAGAAAAGGGCGTTTTGTGGGCGAGGCGATCGTTCACAAACAGAGGATTTTTTTTCTTTCCGAACGTTGGGCAAGCCGGAATTGAATTCTGACATCCCAAGAGCGATTTCTTCTCATTTCAGGGCCGTACTCTGTAGTCAGCGGTTGTCTGAAGCTGGTTACCAGGGACAAGGCTCCCAATATTGCCACACAGCTGTGCAACCGGGCCCCGACTGCTTTGAACAAGGGGCGCTGGATAATTAGTATTATAAATAATAAAACGGACGGGAGCGAGAAAGGGATGCAAGTGAACTCCGCGAGGATATTTTAGCAGCAAATTCTATTTTGTGACTCCGGGATTCAGTTGTGGGCTCGCTCAGTGCTATTTAGGGCTGCCCGCTGGCCCTGTAACTAGGCTCTTCTCCTCCCCGGCTGTTGTCACAGAGTAATTATTTCAATTGCGCCCAGGGCACTCCCTTCATCACATCAAACGGAGCAAAACTACTTGATGGAGCTCCTGGCCGCTGTCCGCAGTCTGTGACAGGATCAACTACTGCGATTCCCGTCTCCACGCTGCACCAATTCCTGTGTCCTTGATGGCCCGCCACAGCGTGTGTTGCACAACCCTCCAGCTCCAGGGCCCTGCGACACGCTGAACCCAGGCCATCGCGATCAGCTGTTTCGTGGGAATTGGGCATGCCATTCGTGAGAATTTCCGACGCATATCTCTGACTCCCGGATCCGCTCGTTACTTGCGCTCCCCCGCGATTCCCGATATCTTCGACATTCGTTACAGACCTCCCTCTCTCTTTCGGTTTTTTTTTTGTCGCTTTTCGCAGTCCTTCAGAATCCTCTCCTTGACCCTCATTCTCGTTCCCATTGCATTCCTCAGCAGCTTCCTGTGGCCGGTATGGTTGCCATCGACCGTGCCGTTAGCCGTCGACGCCGTGCGCCAATCACGGCTTCCAGACTCTCGCAGAACTTGACCGCCGACCCAACAATCCCCAATCCACAACCATCACGCTGTCTTCGAGCCCTCAACGTCCACGAACCCTATCACCGCGGGCGGCTGAAGAAGGGCCGTACGAAGATATCCCTCTAGTCCCCATTATCCCTGCCAATCGCCCTCCCGCTCCCTCGATCCGCGCCCCCGATCCCTCCTACCAGCCTCCGCCGCGATCTCGAGAGTTCAACCCGCCGTGCGCGCCCTCGCGAAACCGAGGACCTCTGCTATCGATCCGCACGCACGTTCGTCGGCCGGTTGCGTCTCCGTGGAATCCTATCAACCACGTTCCTCGTACCACCGTTATCCCGGCTCCCCGCCCCATACCCCTTTCCAACCCAGCCCCATTCGCCGAGTCTTCGCGAGACGTGCACCCATTGTTGACAATTCCAGAACGCCGCCGGAGCCGACAGCAACCAAGCCCATCGAGCTTGTTCGTCGAACGTAGCGCCGGCGAGACGGAAAGTGGCCGTACCAGCATCGCCATCCCCCGCCAACACCGCTCGAGCGGTACTTGGGACGAGATCGATATGGGAGACCACAGACAGGAGGCTGGGGAAAATCGATTCAATCCATTGGGACCCAGCCCGCGCTTCCTTTCAGATCCACACCATGATCCTGCTCGCCGTATAAATTCTCGTCATTCCGCCATTTCACACACATTTGCTTCATTCCCATCTGCCAATGGCAACGCGTCCACGCAAGACGGCTCAGGCGAAGACGGAGCCGCCGACCCCGCTGAAGAGCTGACCTGGGGCCCCGCGCACCCGTGCTTTCCTCACATGAACCCCCACGTGCCGCTCCATTCCGCAGAATATCAGAATACCCGGGTAATCCGCATAAGGCGCGACTGGATGCTCAAAGGTGATCTGGCACCGACGTTCTCGAACCTCTACCCCGAGATTCTCGACCCCCTGCTTCCCGAGTCGGAGTTTCGGAAAATCATCGCCAAAGTCAATAGGGAAATGGTCGATATTTATAATCCGTTCAGCCTTCAGAACTGGGTCGACGCCACAATAGGCTTCCTAACAGGGTGGATATGGGACGATATAGGAGCCAGTCGTGTCAAGTCCCGGCTAAGAGCCGTTGAGGCATGGATAGACCGATGGAATCGGGAGGTTGGTGTCGCAGAAGGTGTAAAGGTATGGCCCCTTCGCTCGACGGGGTACTTGTCACTCGATATACAAATACCAGATCCCAAAGTCGGCCTGATTGGAAGCGATTCGGCATCTATCCACGGCGAAGTGCCCAATATACATGGCGCGAGAATAGATGCGCCTGAGATGGTGCAAATTACGGGTCCAGGGGACTGAAATAGTTTATCGTTGACGTTTCTCGTGCTGCCCTACATTCTTTTTAATTGCTACGCCTTTTCATTTTTTTTTGCGTCTAATGATATCCCATCCGCTTATTTTTAGACATGACATTCGCACTCAAGTTTCTTTGTTAATCAATATTTACCTTTTCCAGTTTTTTTTGTATGCGTGGCTCTAGTAATGCTTCCAGTCTCGATGTTAGCGTCCACCGAGTGTCAATACGCTCGACAAATGTCTTTTGTTCTACCCTGTCCTACCCTTGAATATCTGTTCCAGTATTCGAAGTCCTGGGCTGATCCATCGTTGTAATTTGCATGGCTGCATATGGAGTACATTAAGGCGAGGAGAGACTCCCAGGCAATGCGATAGTCCAACCTGCAATGAATCGTGCTCTTACCCGTTGGCAGCCGTTGCTCTGACCGTAACGTCCGCCATCAACGAGCTGGAGATGCCAAGCCCGTGTCCCACCAAGCTCAGGGGTAAAAGTCCAGATCAGGACTAGCGCCGTGCGTGCCAGTAACTAGCGCCGGGGATAGGATCAACTGACTCTCCGAAGCCAACGATGACGCCCGCAGCTCAACGCGAGCGGAAGCAAAGGTATCAGCGATCACGGCGCATTCTCTCGTCCAACGCAGCAGATTCAGGCAGCTATGCTCTCCGGGATCCTCATATTTAACCAAAAGGGCGAGAACTTGATCTTCCGCGCCTTTCGGAATGACTGCCGCCCCCGCCTAGCCGACATCTTCCGCATCCAAGTGATATCCAATGCCCAAGTCCGGTCGCCCATCTTGACGCTCGGCTCGACGACGTTCAGCCATGTCAAGCACGAGAATATATACTTGGTGGCGGTGACGAAGAGCAATGCTAATGCGGCGCTGGTGTTTGAGTTCCTTTACCGATTGGTGCTGTTGGGTAAGGGGTATTTCGGCAAGTTTGACGAGGAAGCCGTGAAGAACAATTTCGTGCTGGTGTATGAGTTGTTGGATGGTGGGGGATCTCCATACCTATAGGCTGTTTTGGAGAACCTGCTGGGCTGACTGTGACATAGAAATTCTGGATTTTGGGTACCCGCAAAACACGGAGACGGATACGCTTAAAATGTACATCACCACCGAAGGCGTCAAGTCTTCCCTTACGAAATCGCCCACGGATTCCTCGCGCATCACGATGCAAGCTACCGGTGCGCTCTCATGGCGTCGCTCGGACATCAAGTATCGCAAAAACGAGGCCTTTGTCGATGTTATCGAGGACGTCAACCTGCTCATGTCTGCCACGGGCACCGTGCTCCGCGCGGACGTCAACGGCCAGATTATCATGCGGGCTTACCTGACTGGGACACCGGAATGTAAATTCGGGCTAAACGATCGGTTACTACTCGATAATGATGACGGAGCAGGCGATGGGCGCAGAGGACGCGCGAAACCTACGCGCGCGGCAGCGGGGGGTGTCACGCTTGAAGATTGCCAGTTTCATCAATGTGTAAGGCTGGGACGATTCGATGCGGATCGGATAATCTCCTTTGTGCCCCCCGACGGGGAGTTTGAGTTGATGCGGTATCGAGCCACGGAGAACGTCAATCTGCCCTTCAAAGTTCATCCCATTGTGAGGGAAATCGGGACTACCAAAGTTGAATATAGCATTGCTATAAAGGCGAATTATGGAACGAAGTTGTTTGCTACAAATGTTATTGTCCGCATCCCCACACCGCTCAACACTGCCAAAGTGAGTGAGCGTACGACCCAAGGCCGCGCAAAGTATGAGCCGGAGCAGAATAATATCGTGTGGAAAATCGCGAGGTTCTCCGGGCAGAGCGAATATGTGCTCACTGCGGAAGCGACACTGACCAGCACAACGTCGCAGAAAGCATGGAGCCGCCCTCCTCTCAGTCTAGGGTTTAACCTGCTCATGTTCACCAGTAGCGGTTTGCTGGTGAGGTATTTGAAAGTATTTGAGAAGAGCAACTATAGCAGTGTGAAATGGGTGAGATATATGACGAGAGCGGGCAGTTACGAAATAAGGTACGTGGCATCCGCTTGCTTTGCATCATGCCTTTTTCTCTAGGGGGACATTTTGCTAGTTTTCTTCAGGCCACTAATGTTGCTCAATTTTTAGATTTTAATCCGAGTTTTCCTTTTTGTTTTTTACCGCAGCATATCCTTTTGCATACTGTCTGCTTTTGGTTGCATTGGGCTTGGGAATATCACAATGATTGACATAATGAGCGTCTCGTACTCCCATTTTACTGATGGTTGGTTATTTTCAATATTTCATTGGCATATCTGGTCAATATCGATCCTCTAATCCCCCTGTTGTAAATATCTCTCGTGGAATTCTACCCTTTTGAGAATTGCAACAAACGTCTCTAAATCAGTTCCCATCATTTCTCCCTTTCAAAGAATGTTGGATCGTTGCTACAATTGACTAGGCTGATGACATGAGTACCAACTCCGTACCTGATGCTCTTCGGAGCCCACGTTAGCTAACAACCAAAGCAGCAGGGGCGTAAACACGGCGTCCTCAAAGCTTCACTTTCCATCTATCTCCCCCGCCTTTCCACCCTCCTCTCACCTTTTCTCTCTGATATTTCCTTTCCTCTGTGCGCAGTGCTGCAAAAGACATAATGGCCTACAGTTCCAGATACTTCCCCAAATCTCATAAAGCAAAGCAAAGGCACCGCCGTTACCATATTATTGCGAAATACGGGGTAACTGAAGTCGAGTTTGGTCAACTTCGGCCAACAAATCTTGGCCACTCTTCGCGAAAACGGTCTCCTCGGCGTTTTTCTTGACGATCCTGAGAAGAAGCAGGAGGTGATATCAGCTGTCTCAGACATGCCCGACGTTCCCCGGTGGCTCTTCTCTCGTGGCACTCCCGAAGATGCGTTCCAGACCCTTTTCCATATATCCCACAGCATCATCCTTAATGAGCGGAGGAAGAAAGATAACGCGAAAAAGGCACGCGGGAAAAAGAGTTATACCGGCCTACCCACCGGCAACGACAATAGCGACAAAGATATCAAGAGGGCTGAGGACGAGTACGGCACCGGGGAGCCTGAGGCCAGCGCAAACGCTGATGCCAACAATGAACACTGGCTACCCAGCCTTCCGTCCTCCCCGCTTAGCTCTCCTCCCACGCCATCTTGTAATGGCGGTTCTTTGCCCCTTTCAGATCGAAATATCTACACCTTCCTGCTGGACAATGAACCGTCTGTATGCGGGCCAACTGACCTTGTTTCCGATCGCGGCACTATCCCCATCAGCGTCGACCTGCTCAGCTTTGATAAGTGGGTAGAATACCTCAAGCAAGATTTTCCCGGCCATGACCCCGAAGCCTATGAGATTGTCTTTGATTCTCACATTAGGGGCCAGCAAGTCGTTATTCGCAACTCGCGTCAATGGAAAGCTGCACTCCGCGAGGTAATGGCTACGCGCAACTCGAACCATTTTCAATTTATGATCCGGTTTCACCCTGCGTGATCTCGTTTTACGACATGAAGAATATATATGGTTGTACGGAGTAAGCAATAGCAGAATAGAGAGTGGAATAAGATAATTAGTGAAACAAGCATCTCAAGTCTATCTCTTGAAACGCGCCGGGCGAAGCTTGAAGAAAGAATTTGTAAACAAAAGTATCTTGCTTCTGTTGCCTGGATTGAGGCATTGCATTATAACAGAACGAGTAACACCACCAACTAATAGCATATAACCCATCAAGCTTGTCGAGCCCAACCATCGAAACTCGGGTGTTACTTTTCCTCTTGCTGATATTTCAATTCTCTGCTTCTTATAATTCTCTACCTCTAAAAACAACTTCTTCTCTCGGACCTGTATTATATTGCTCTTTACACTGGACCCGCCACCAATCCCCCCCACGAACATTGTCGAAATTTCACCTATCTCAAGCTCGATACGCGTCACTGATTCCTTAAAAGTGTCAAGAAAGAGAATAAGGCGAGGATCGTCAGTGCCGCAAATGCAATGACAGATATATTAACGGCATCAGGCCTGTCGGATTTTCTAGGCCAGAAAACCAACGCTTTTCAGATCGAACTCGGCTATTGCAAAGCGTATCAGAAAACCTTGCGTCTCGCTTTGACAGAAAACTCCGGTAGTGCCAATAAATATTATCGGGTAATGTCAACTCCTGATCAAGAGTACAGGACAGAAAACAATGGCATTATTGTTTTGATGCGACAGCGGAAAACAATCGAGCGGGATATGGAAGACGAATGTTCAGCCCAAAAAATCAGAATGTAGCCCAAGCGCGTAGCATCGACCTTTTGAAAGGGCATATATTCAGTATCGGAGAGGTGGTACTCATGGGCCCTAGAATTGTAAGCCACTATTGACATGACAACAGTGAAAAAGGATTGGATGCGGGAGCCATAGGTATCATTTCGATTCCTCCAGTCGACCGACAAACAGCACCTGATGAGGAGGTAAATCGTTTGTCTGCAGATACTCGAGAAGCGATCCTCAAATCGGCTAAAAGTCTCTCTCTGAATTCAGAGGATCAAGCCGAGAGTTGCAGTGATAACGGTAAGATGAGGATTCAGATCAGCGGACGAACTGGTAAACTGATGATTTCATGTACGGCACATACTTGAGGAGCAGACGCAGAGCCTAGAATCGCTTTATTTTCCTCAGATATTTGCATTTGCAATGGGGATATATGTATCTCAATCCAGCACTGTAGTTGATACTAAAATTATATTCACTCAATAAGGCAGGCTCACAAAGTGGTGGATTATGTCAGCTAACTAGTCTGTGCTGCCGTATTTGGCAGATGCTCCTCCGCCTCCGTTGAGACGTCCTTCATGGCTCCAGATCAAGTCCTCGTTGCTGGCAGACGAATGGAGGCTGCATGCACCCCTTTGTCTCCCGGTGCGAACGGAAATGCCAACGTGCGCTATGGTGTATCCCAGAAATACCATCCCCGCGAGTACCACGTACACCCGCAGGCCCGTGTGAAGCGGCCCCGACACCACACCAGCTCCCGCCCAGAGCAACCCGACCCCTCCATTGATTATTCCAAGTGCGATCATGATGCGCCCCAGCCATCGATGGAGAGAGGCGAACGGGCTCCGTCCTCCCGTGCGCACAAAGTGCTTGTGTTGAAGCCACCCAAATGAGGGCTGCAAGAGGCAGAGACAGACAACGACAATGATACCGAGGATGGGATGTATAGCAGCTCTGGCTCCGGCGCCAGTCCAAAGTTTGACTCCTAATCCAAGGCCAGTGATTGCTATAACCAATGCCATGCCCTGCAGCGGTGCATGAACTCGGGTCACGGAGATGGGTACAAAGGTCGATATGGGTACTAGCATGGCGAATATTGGCATCAAAACAACGAATGCAATCGCCATCAGACAGCCATGAGCAATTGCGGCTGTGGAAATAATCGCAGCGGGGGGGTTGTCAGAACCCTCGCTTCCTCGCACTGCGTCCCAAATGGGGTTCAGGAACGGATCCTTATCGGAGGAGTCAGCTTTCGTACGGCTCAGGTCAATCACTGCGCCGCCGAAATCATCGTGAAAGTCAATGTCAGTCGAGAGATCGTCAGAACTCATCGGCCGCCCGACTGTGTAGGCCCAAATCCACTCGCTGGCGATACTTTGCTCGTCCCACAGCCCTCCCCCGAAAACAAGGCAGGCCTCACACCGAATATTCGCCGTCATAAACCCATCTCGGATGCCGGATCCAGAGAGGAGTGAAATTTGAGCGTTCGGATTGAACTTGGGAGGCGCATGACCCGGTGCGGAGCGCGGAGAGACGGTGACGTTGCTTGGGGACGAGGACGAGTAAACCAGGAACATGTTGGCGCCTGCCATTTGGTTCCCTTGGCCTAGAGCGACCCATCGCACCGTGGTAGGTGCTTTGATCTGGAAAAGGAGAGCATCCGGTGTGGTTGATTTTCTCGCATAAGAGACAGCGACACTGAACGTAATGTCCTCCCGGCCCTGAGGATGAAAAGCTGCCGGGCGAGCTGAAACGCAGGCGACTGAGACTCAATTGTCAGTATCGCATAAATCCGAGATGGATATGTTGAGGAGTCAAGGCAGGTGGTACATACTCAGGCTGAAAGCAGCCAGTTGCTCAATCCACCGCGAGAACCGCATTTTCAGCAACAGGAATCGAAATCCTCTCGTGGGCAGCTGCACACCGGTGCTCAGTATCCTACTGAGTACGAAAGAGCCTTTTGCTCTTCTCGTTATGTCTTTTAGCGCAAGGTTTTCTATCCCATGAACGTCACACTTACTTCGCAACCCTCGGCTTTTTCGCAACGAAGTATAGAGCCCTCTACGTGGTTACTACGATTGTTCGTGAATCCCGAGTCCTACGATGGTCTTCCGTCTCTTTTGGATTTGTGAACAGCAATTAGGGTCGATCACTGCCAGCCGGAGTTTGCGCTGCAAAAAGCTCATGACTGGTTCGGTTCCCGATATCTTCCCGCGTGGCTGGCTGCAGGTCCTTTCAGCGTTACACCGCACGGATAAAGCATCTCCCATGGGAAAGTTCGATGGATCTACGGGATCGGCCCGATCCCGAGTGATCAGCACTAGTTTCCAAAAAAAACAAAGCTTCTTATTTTTAAAGTGGTCTCCTGGGATCAACAAGCCATACGGAGTACAATTGTGGCGAACTTTCCACTTTAACTAGTTGCCGGCCGATTCAAAAATCGACCAAGCGCCCCCCATATCAGGCCCTTGCTCCTTCAACCTCGCCACCGCGTCAAAGAAAGATTATTGGGCTGGCCTAAAGATCTGGAGCGGAGAACCCAGTTCCACCAGCCAGCCAAACATTGGATCCTTTCTGAGCTCATCCATGGCTTCCTTTTCCAGCGTCACACCGACCTCCCACGACTTGTTAACCCCACGATCGGGCTTAATAGTACAGACACCATTAGGATTCATGTATGGGAGGATTTCGAAGTCGGCCACCTTTCCCAAAACTGGACCGAAGTCTTGATATGCCTGCAAGCGACGGATACTTGTGACGACAACATCCGGTTCGTGGATTGTGGTATTGGCCCAGTTGTTGGCGTGGCTGAACTGCGCCAAATGTTTCCGAACGTACTGATCATCCACCTTATTCAGGCCCGCCCTTAAGATACAGGCCGCGGAAGCGATTTCCCGTGCAAACCCCTCTTTCGTGTGTTGCTCCGGCTGGTCTAGCCCATCCGTTGAACACGATTCGTCGAGCATCAAAAAACAATTGCCAAGATAATGAGCGGGCAGTGGGGGGCTCAACCGGTGTCGGACGTTGATGAATCGGTTGAGGGTGCAAGTTGGAGTCCCGTCTAATCCCGGACGGGAGCGAATCCGCCTGAGGCACACCCAAAACACTGCTGTTACGACATCGTCATCAGAGACGAGCTTGGATGGCTGACCGGGTTGTGCCGTCTCAATTTGCTGCGATTGAGCCAACTGATGCAGCCACTGGATTTTTTCCGCTGATAACCGGAAATTGTAGTCGACGAGGAAGGCATCATGCACTTCATCATGCCCAGTGGAGGCGGCGGATTGAGCCGCTGGGGGGGATTGCACATTGCTTCTCTCCTGTCCGATGGTGGCAAGAATTGCTCTTGAGGCCGCCTCGCACTCCCAGTCAGTTGTGAAAGTGAGAATACGATCGTGTTCTGGTCTAGGGCGAGCACATTCAGCAAGGAGCTCAATGAGTGTGCCTGTACCAGTCCCGTCAATGACCATGTGGGTTGAGAAACAGCGTAAAGATGATTCCCGTCTGCGAGAACATTCCCCCTGAAACCGAAAGACTGGATGGTTTTGTGTAGGAGGCCGCAACCTGTAGAGGCACAACGATGAAGGTTCGCATCCG